GAATTAAAAAAATATGGAAAATAATCTAAAATATTTTTAAAGTATCAGAAATGGTTCAAAATTACTCTTAATTCAACTATTGACTCCAAAATATCCTTGTCATTTATCTTTAGGTTCAAAATTAACCACTTATTTAACGATTTTAAATTTAAACTATTTGAATATTTAAATGACGATAGTTTTATACTATTTTTAATGATTTAAAGTTATTTTAGGTCTTTTTTTTTTTTTAAATATCAAAAAAAGAAAGTGAGACAATAATTCACTTTTATCAAAATTGTTCATAAAATTCTTTTGTCATCCCCACAGACCACATGCATATTTGAACTTACTTTAATTTCTACTATGCATGGGTTACCCACTCTTTTATTACAGTACTTATTTACAAAACAACAAGTTCATGAGGGTATTAAACTAGCTAGAGTTTAAGAAATATACATGGTTAACGTAAATTTACACTATCAAATTATTTCTATCAGCTTATAACAGGTTACATATTTTATTTTTAATATTTTAAATCCTACATTTTAAAAGGGAAATCTACTTATAAATATCGATTCGATAGTGTGAAAAATTATTTAGTCAAACAATTAAAAAAAATAAAAACTTAAACTCATTCAACTAATGTGTGCTGGGAAAAAAAGTGGTGAAGCATCTCTATGTAATTTGCCATCAGAAACTCTGACTTTGCTCATTTTGTCTTCACACCAATGCAATTGTTCATCATTCACTTCACTCATTCTTAATACTCTTGATACCACTTTTAAATCTATTAATCCCATCAATATATCCATTTCTTCTTCTTCTTTTAATCTCCTTTTTCCCAAGCTGCATTTTCCTGACCTACCAATATCCTTCACCCTTGTCTTTTTCTGCATATATGCATATATATATCAAGTAAGTCGCTCGTTAAAATATGATAGAGTATTTATAATCTTGAAAATAAAACAGATACGCGCCTTTTTGTTGACTTTCTTGAGTAAGAGGAGAAGAGTAGGGTCAGTAGAGGCTCTTTTGTTTCTCCTAAAGAAAGCTGTCATTAGTAATTGACAAGGATTCTCTTTGTCTGCTTTGAGGAATTTCATAAATGTTCTCATTGCTTCTTCCATTATCCCAAGAAATGAATCTGATGATATTCTCGACCATAATTCTTCTTGTCCCTTTTCCTCATCTGAATCTAGTCAAAATTTTGTTATTTTATTTCGAGATGGAGACAAAAAGAAGATCTAAATCACATACACTATTATATTTTATATATGACAAGAAAAAAAAAAGTTCACTATTACTAGTATATAGTTTTACTTGCTGCGACTAGTCACGTAATGTTTCAATTTGTTTGTCTGATTTTAACTTGATACTGAGTTAAAAAGAAAGTAAAAGAGATGTTGAAATCGTGTGATCTTAAACTAATAATACATATTATGTATCAAAATATCATTTCGTCAAGTTCGGTCAAAATCAGACCGATTTCACCCCAGTCTCGTATTTGATGGTCGGCGTGGCTAATCAAAAATTCCGGCTCGGCCCGTTCTTAAATGTGTCACAAGGAAAATTGAAATTAAATAGCTGCCCAAAAAAAGGAAAGACACATTCTTTTTTAAATGGACTAATAAGGAAGTAAGACAAACAAATTGAAATAGAGAGAATATCATGTTAAGACAAACAAACTGAAAAAGGATGGAGTATCATAGTACATTAAGTCGAATAAATTGAAATAGAGACAGTGCCATTAAGTCGAACAAATTGAAACAGAGTAGTACATGTTTCGTAGGACACCTATCCATGCTTGCTATAAAAATTATTCATAAAAAACTTCTAAATGACGATTAGTAGTATATAGAAGTTAAACTCGAAAAAGGGATAAACTAAATTACCTCTATATTCAGGAACTTGAAGCAACTTTGGAGCTAAACTTCTCATCCTAGCATAAACTTCAGGCCTCTTACCATGTTCATATGGTTCATTCTCAATGTATCTTTGTAAAAGCACTTGAAATTGTTGAAAATGTTGAGCTACATAAGCAGGACAACCTGGATCCTCTTCAAGACGCGAAGCTCTTAGGCTTTTGAAGTATTTGTAGTTCCAGCTCAGTGCTTCCCATGCTAAGCATACCTACAAGCATACGCATATTCAGGATTTAAATTTGACGAGTTATATATTAACGTCTGTTAAAATTTCATGTGTATATTTATGCGTTGTGCGTGGGAGGACAATACTGAATCCGCCTCTGCATGCTTACCTGTGCTACATACGCAGCCTCTAATTCATGATATGGATTGTGTCGAAATTCCGATGATTTCCTGTTTTTCACTGCCAATTTATGAACAATCCTGTCTGATATTGATCTTGGACATGATTGAATGGATCTTAGTGACTCTGAAGAAAAGAAAAGGAAGAATTTAGATAATATTGAAAAAATATATAATAAACTTTAAAAGTGTAGCGTTTAGATGCTTGTTGCACACTACAGTGCTACAGTTCAAGTCTCACTGTCATCCATTATGAAGAAAAATTTCTACGTGTCACTGTAGAAATTGAATTTGAGTTTGCAAAGTTAGACATTACCTGTTTCATGGAGTTTTTGTACACTGATTTTATCTAAAAACAACATTTCTTCATCATATTTTTGGAAGACAGTGTAAGATTCCCATTTTGGGCAACTTCTTCTTGAAGAAGACGAAAACGGATCTTCTTCTTCAGTACCCGAATCTTTAATGGAGCTTCTCCATTCAGAAGAACTCTTAGAAATGGATCCAACACTATAAGAATCCCCAAATATTTTATCAACATTATTATCCTCCTTTTTTCGGAATTCGAGTTTCTTGCTCTCTAACTTAGCTGGTGCATAAACCAAGAAATTATCCTCTCTACGTAACTTTTTACTCTTCTTTACTTTCTTATCCTTCGTGAATTTCCCTGCATCAACAACAACACAAGGACAAAGTTTTAACCAACACATTTTAACGATTACTCATTGTACGTAGTACGTACCCTGATTATCCATCGTGTTCAAATCGCATTTGTAAGTATCCAATTTGAGATTCTTCTCTTCAACATCGTCGTCATCATCATCAGTATGAACAGATTCTGAAGCTACTGATGCATAAACAGAATCTACTTCATCAGCAACTCTGCTATTTAAGTTATATTCAACTTTTTCACTTTCGCCAAATGTGTGTGCTAGAAAATGTTTTTCCTCCCCTGTTTCAGCTTTGTTATGATAATTATATTCATTTTCTTCGTCTGAAAACTCAGCAAATTCATATCCATTAACTCGATTCCTGCAAAACCCACAATAGTCTGTCATCATGGAGTTCGAATAATTCAAATTAAAACAAAAAAGGAGGGAAAATTTTGAAAAATAAGAAGTCATTCACAATTACTAATGAAGGAATGATTATTCCTAGAAAAGTTAAGGATTAACAACTCTTCTTAGAAATATAATGGATTCAATCTGGTACTTTCTGACACAACCCTGATACTTAGAACGGCCTACCTATTTTAGATGGTAGAACCAAGAGAGAGGAGAAATCGCGCATATTCTCTATCCAGACATGAGAAGGAACATATATTGACTATGGAAAACATAGTGATGATCACGAATAAAAACTTGTGATACGATACGATACATACCTCCAGAAAAATGGATTTCCACCGAGAAAGTAGAAGACTTTGCCAAGTAAAATAGAAGTGAAGTACGAGAAAATAAGGAAAAGTTGAAATGAGCTTGAGACATTGTAGAATAGCCTTGCAATTGTTTCATTAGAACATTGCATTGTTTTCCTAAATTTTGTTGAAATTATGAATGTTTTCGAGTTTCTAATGATCCTCTTCTTTACTTAGGTAAAGCAAAAAATAACAAAGTGACACTAAATAATAAAAAGGTCAGTCCTTTAATTGCTTTCACAAATATCCTTGTTTGTCAAGATGGTCCTTTGCTTTTTTTCTAGATCAATTATTTATTCCATAATAAAAACACAAAAAAATAATTTTTAAAAAGAAGAGACCAAAACCCAGCCACACGCATTTGTAACTTGCTCTTTACAAAAGAATTACTCCACTAGAATACTCTGGTGCAGGCAACATGGACGGAGCTAGGGTATCGGAAGGGAACCCTGTATCGAAAAATTAAACTATATATATTGCACCTCCATTAATTTCAATGATATTTATCATCATCAGTAGATACCAGATAACTCTTGATAACTTTATGCACCAACACTAAAACATATAGTAAAAAATTACCTAGTGTTTTTTTCTCGATTAGAATTTAAACCTGAAACGTTATTTACTCAATTGTTTTATCATCAATCACACCGATACAATATAAGAATGTTATTCTTTTCATTCTATATGAAGAAAGAGCCAGGACAATAGTTAATAGTACATTTTAAGGTTCTCATGTGGAGCACTTCTATACTTGCGATTAATTTAAGTTATACACATTTGACGATATATAAGGAGTAAAATTTTAACTTAAAACTATAATAAGTAGTTCATATTATTTTCTATTATTGTTCAGCTTCTTAGTCTAAAAGTGTAAAAAAGGTACATTGAATATATGGCCTATATTTTGTCTCTAACTTGGCCCCAAAGATTTGTCAGGATTTCAAGTAGGATGTAGTAGTTCATTAGTGGGATTAGTATCCTATCCTAATCGTGTTTAATGAACTTTATAAGATCCTTAAAATAAACCCTTGAAATTAACTAAATTTTGTGAAGTTAAAGCACTTGTGCTGTATGAAAAAATAAAAGTAAAAATGTTTTTCAGTGCTTACAAAAATAAATAAATATGTATTCATGCTCTAAACTTGTATTTAATATGTATATCGTCATATATAATTACTTTATAATCTATATATATACGGACTAAGAGAAATAGTGAATACGTTGGCTATTTGTGTAAAGGTGAAAAAAATGTTGCAGGACTATATGGTCAGTTTCCAATAGGATAGTGGGCTATTCTATGGGCCATAAAACTACTGGGCCATGAAAGCCCAATTAAGTAGCAACCGTTTTCTTCTCTTGAAAAAAAATGAACATTCCCTTTCCGTCCTCCGGCTGAGAGTACGGTGGAAGAGGCTGAGAGCAATGGCCGGCGACGGTTTACCGTCGAATATGACTGGAATGTCTAAAGTAGAGTTATACGATGTCATGTCTCAGATGAAGGTACTCATATATGTGTATGCGTGTAATAATCCATACATAATTTTCGTTCGTGAAGATTAAGTCAATTTCGATTGTTTTTCTTTTTGTTTGTTACTTATATTCTCTTCCTAGAGCTACCTGATGAAATTTTCTGTGAATTCTTATGTGTTCTTGTGTAGGTATTGGTGGAACAGAACCAGCAACAAGCAAGGCAAATTCTCATCCAAAACCCTAGCTTGACTAAAACACTCTTTCAGGTCTTATTTTACTTTTTCTGCTGATGTTACTTGTTTGGTTTACTTTTGTATATAAATTGTGTAACTATTACTGTTACAAATGCTAAAATTAGGGTTTTAATTTCTCTAATTATTGGAATAGTGTAATTACACTGAGAAAGTGTGATTTGGTTTAGAACTTAAATTCGGATATTCGTGAGTGATGTGTTGGATTGTAAAGCTCAATATTTGAAAGTTGTGTGCCTTAATATTTTGGAATTTTGATGTTTCATATAATTTTAACATTTAGAGAGGGCTGATGTAGTTGGTGGCTATCACTGTTTTATGTCTTAATAGATAACTCTCCTCCCCTCTTCTCAAGATAGATTATGCATTGATTTTACTGTGATATGGATGATGTTTCAAGGAACTACTGTCTGTTTTGTATTATTAATCATCACAAGATTCCGTGGAAGATTGGGACTATTAGCTTTTACAATAGGAACGTTTCACATGAATTTGGAGGTTTCTTTGTTGGCTTCTTATTCTCTGATGTGGGTTTTTACAATGATGTGTTTATTAGGCACAAATAATGCTTGGGATGGTGCAGCCCCCACAAGTGGTAAGTTGGTATATATATCATTTTGACCTAATGAAATATCTGTTTTCCACGTCTACAATTAAGTTATCATTCTCAAAAAAAATAAAAAAATGTAATGCAGTTCTAGATATTTACTTTAATCTGCTTTTAGATACCAACCATCCAGCCAGCAGGAGCATTGAATATTCAGCCATCAGTATCTCAGCTTCCACAACCAATTGTTCAGGCTACTCCATCGTTGCCAGGGCATATTGGCATTCAGGAGCAAACAAGAAAGCAGCAGCAGAATCAAGCTGCTCCAACAGTGCCATCCGCTTCTCTTCCACCCTCGAACCTTCAATCCACATCCGTGCCATCTCATACATTGCAGACAGTGCAGCAGCAGAAAGGACTTATTGGTGCTCAAGCCACACCAATCTCTTTACCACAAACCTCTCAAGTTCCTAATATGTCCCAGCTTCCTCGTCATTCTGCTCCACCGCTGCCATCTCATCTTCAACAACAGATGCATCCAGCATCCCCCAAGTTGGAGCAACCAATGCAAACTAGTGTAAACCAACACCTGGCTATGCAACCACAGCTACCACCACAAGTGAGACCATCAATGCAACCCTTCCCCCATCAAGTTCACCCTCACATGGGGCCCAATGCTGGTTATCCACAATCTGGGGCAACTCAGCACCACCATTCACAACCTGCTTATCATGTAATTATTATGCCTTTAGTGAGTTTAAGGTTTACTTTTCCATGTATAAGATGTAAATAATTCTTTTATCATTCAGCCTGCAATGAGGCCTCCAGCAAGCATGGGACCTTCTTTTCTACCGGGACAACCACCTGGTCAAAGTCAGCTTCCACCCCAGCCTCTATATCAGGTGCCCTAGTTTTTTAAAATCTTTGACTGACAGTCTATCTTACCTTTGGCTGTTTCTTGCTCTACTAAATTTGGTTGATGTTAGTAGAGGCCCCATGGTTAAATTTAAGTGCCTCTTAATAGTTACCTTTTTTCAAATGCATGACTCCGTGCCAATTTTTCTGTTTAAGATTTTTCACAGCTGTATTAAATACACCAATGTCATGATCATTCGTTATCTGGGATTATGAAGTAGGATAGGTCATAGGTATAGGGGTTTCTTAGTCTTGGCGAAAAAATATCTAATACGATCAGATGTATGGCTAGAATGCATCATAGTTTGCATTCTATGTTTGCTCACTTAGCACATGAATGATGCTTTGCTGTGGTACTGTTTTCTTTTGACAGATCTGGGTTACTGACTTTTTATTTTACATACCAAATTATTCCTATACCCTTGGTCCCTCCAGCCCAAACTAACTGTTCTATTTTGACTCTATTTTCATTTTCTTATTTGACTATCAAAATATTCTTAATTTATTTGATATATTTGGAACTAAATTTACTTGTACTTTTACCATGTAATGTCAAGGTTATACATCAATTTGCAATATTATTTGGGTTGTTTCTTTTGTTTTGTACCTTCAACGTTTAAGTTTGATATTTTGTGTGACCATCTCATTTAAGCTTCTTAACTATGCCCCTTTTGGTTTGATTCTCCAACACGTGGATATTATTTTTGCAAAAGGTGGTAGTTAGACTTGAACTAAGGACCTATGGTTTTTCTGATACCATGTCAAATTGTAGTATAACCTCAAAAAAAACGTTGTAAAAAAATACCTTGTCTAATTGTGTGAACACAGAATATAAAAGTTAAGGTTGTTACAGGTAACACACTTTATATGCTTACTATAATAGAGTTTAAAACTTGAGAAAGTATAGCCTGACCATTCCCAAGTCATCTTTCTGTAACATGATGTTCCCAACGACAATCTAATATGTTAGTTCTGGCAATGGTCCACAATGCGTGATAATTTTTGGTGTCTATTGCTCGAAAGAGAATTCTTAGCTCTTACTTGTTTTAGAATATATGCCAAGTACTATTATCATGGGATTTGACATGATGCTTTTGTATGTGCATAATCTAGATGGGAGGTTCACATTTGAGACCAGAATTCAATCAAGTTGGAAATTCAATGCAAGCAGATCGAGGATCTCCTTGGATTCCCAGCTTACCAGAGAATACATCAGGAACACAGCTCCCAGGGCCACCATCATTCCCTGCACAGATGGGCCCGGGCAGTCAGCCTCCTAGACAAGGAGCAGTAATATATCTTCAGTCCTATTGTTCACGTTTTTAGTTTAAGGACAGACTGTTGGTTTTACTTTTTGTTTCAGACAAAAAAAAAGTTAATCTTGTTGATGTGCAGCTGTCCCCAGAGATGGAGCAGGCACTTCTTCAGCAAGTAAGGAGTCTGACCCCAGAACAGATTAACATGCTGCCTCCGGAGCAAAGGAATCAAGTGCTTCAGTTACAGCAAATGCTCCGTTAATCAGAAGCGAGTGCTGCAAAATACGGTTCTGCCAAGAAACTGAAATATCCTCATCTGGCTAATCGATTTTTCTATTTATCAATCACCATTGGGTAGATGGACAGTGCGCTCCTTGTTCAATGGTGTTTTTTTTCCCCTTTGTTAAGGTTATTTTTCCTTAGCTCAAGTCGGGTTGCCTGTCATGTTGCTAGCAAATCGTAAAACGTCGATGGAGAGCTTCTTTGGTGCATATATATCCCATCTTCTCCACCTGGATGCTCTCCACTTTCTTTTTTATGTAATGTCACTTATATGTATCATGTCACTGTATTAGAATAGCCTAATGCCCTCAATTATGAGATTGTGAAACAGTATAGCCCCTTCCCTTAATCTTGTATCCAAAATTTCCAGACACATTTTGGTTTTGCAGATGCATCTTGTGAACAGTTTGCTGGACTTAGTGGAAGGTATAGTTGGATATTCATTTAGGGGGTGTTCTCTCTTATCATACTAGGTGTACACAATGATGTCAATTTTTTTTTTTGGATATGCGATATTTATGTTCATTGTTATCAGACAGATTTGAGCAAAGCATGGACTCATGCAACAGTGGATGCTTCTTCATGGATTTCATTAGCCCCTCGTTACTCATATGAAAGTAAATAAAGCTTTGTTCAGGCAGCCATGTTCCCAAAAATGCCTCTCTTTAAGAAGAAGAATGTTCCGAAAATTTGGAACCACATGAAAGTTTCCCTTTTGTTCTATGAATCGTAAATATTCACTTCCACTCAGTTAGAAATGGAAAACTAACTTATTCATGTTACCTTTTCAGTTTGCCTCTATTTCCCCCTTGGATATGTGATACATCATTGACAATTTTAGCTCTATAATTCAACATAGTAATTACAAAAACTGGAAGATAGGACAATTGACAAAGCAATTACATGTACACCCATTACAATGTTCACCCCAGAAGACAAGCACTCCAATTAATTCTTCCATGTACGATTTGGGGCAGTTCATTCTTTCTTCGGAACAAACTGAGCTTGGATGGATTGCATGATGTGAAACCCCTTCCACAGTTTGAATCGACCAGCGATCCAAAGGCTCCATCAATGACCATAAGCAAGTAATTGGGATCTGTGACCTCAAATTATGATCCAAAAACCTCAGAAAGATTTTTGTTGTGGCTGCAATAATAGTGTGTCATACTTGGTCAATGAGACATACAGTTTATAGTTGGGACACATAGCACCCAAACAATAGTTCTTATCACATTGCGGCACTGGAAGTTAATGCCACTGTTAACATACCATCGGTTAAGGTGTAGTGAATATTAAGCGCATACTCCCAACAAATAAACTTATGTAGTTTGCAACTACTAGGTATCTTCTGAAAAAATTGAACAGTATATTCATTCCAATTGAAGACCAGTAAATCACATGTAGTTGAAGACTTAATCCCACACTTGAAACAGTTTAAAAAAAGAGCAATAAAATAGTTTTATGACATGCATCATGAGGTTTAAATTACAAACAGATCTCTTACTGCTAGTCTGATCATAGAACTGATTGTCAAACGTAATTACCTTGTCCTTTCAGTTTGTGGGAGCATCAACTTTTCCTGGAGAGATGTGCTATAATCATAGTCTAGTAAAAGTGTAAAACTTCCCTTCGTGCAATCTTTTTACATTTTTCACTCAGTAAAAATAATCATTGACCAGTAGATTTTACAAGTTAAAATGTATATGCATTTATTCACACTTAAAATTCTTTAAGGAATAAGAGTTCTAAGAGTAGTCTTAAGAATGAAGGCATAAGACCTGCAATGATTACCTCAAAAGGACCATGGCCATGATACAATGCAATTCCTCATATAGTATTAACCATGAAGTGTTGTTATCCTGTTTCATCGTCCTCAAGACTGGAGTACTCTGAATCGTCATCATTTTCCCATTCAGGATCTTCATCCTCGTCATCACCAGACTCTAAAGATGAATCTTCATCTTCACTCTGCATACCAAATAAAAATTTAGTCAATATGGATATCTCATTATACTGATCCTTTTTCTTGAATTACAATAAATTCACCCTTCCTCCCCTGGGGATCCCTCTACATCCTTCACCGCAAGAAACTATCAACAGCTATGACAAGAAGAAGCCACACACTTAAAGACAGTTCTCCGCTATCGTATAAGAAATCTCCCTGATTTTTCTTAGACATCCAGAGGAATCGTGGTAAACTTACTAGGGATTCCGAGACATGATTGAACTGATCAAGCACCTCCAAATTGCTAGTATCACCAAAATCAACCTATGGACAGACAAGAAGAAAATTCCGTAAACAAGTATAGAGGTGAGGTACCCACTTTGAACTTCAAAAGTACTGGTGAAGAACAGTGTGGTGCGCATAATACCACGGTTATCAAAACTAAAAGAAGATCCAATTAGCACAAACGATGTGGTGGTGTTCATCAGAACCATATTTTATGTAAGTTCTCCACTTCAATATACCAGGAAATCTCACACCATATCACAAAATTGTTACTCTATCAAGCAATGATGAAAATAGAAGTCCTTAGATTTCGTTAGAGAGATCAGACTCGGTCTTCTTCGTCACATCTCTATAAGATTCTGAACTGAAATTTGTAACAGAATCTGAGTTAAACTTCCAAATATTAGGATTTGGTCTTCTAAGAGATGGCTATCTTAATCAACGAACAATTATTTTATCAATTGTAATTTATAATGTTTGTTTATTTTTTGATGAAGGAATAGTAGATTGTATTACTGGCATCAAGTAGATGCATAAACTACAAAATTTATGTAAGCAAAAATACCGTTAGATGCTTTACATCGGAAACTTTGACAAGACGATAGAGCTTACAAAATCTAAAATGTTATCTGGGGATTCTATGGGAGGGGAATTATGCCAGCTATACAAATAAACTAAACATCTAGCTTTAAGGAATTATATTTTAGTTGATAAGCCCTCAAAACATCGTTTGTTCCTTTCTGTCCAGACACAGCAAAAAATATTTGTGGGGATCATCTTCCGTACTTGTTTGATGGCTTTACCAACTCTCTTGGTACGCCATCCTTTAATTGCTTCTTTACCAACTCCAATATAATGCTTAGAACTATAGTTTGATCAGCAAATTTAGAACTATATTTCTCTATGAAAAACTACTACCGATGGGCTAAGTATGGTCATTTATAGGAAATATTACTTTTTGAGTAAAGAAATTGATTTCAAGAGTATCTTCAGCTATGCATGATCATTGGCCTTTGAAATATGAATAATATAATAATACTCTAACAGTCTGATCCCACATTAAACTTAAACTTTCAATATGCTCTATAATTTATATGAGAAAGATGCAAGGATAGATTATGCACCAATTAGTAAGGATCCAGTTAACATGTTTTAAAGCTAACGGAACTTGAATCATAAGCCTCCAAAAGGTTTAAAAAATTCGGGGAAATATTTTAAACGAACAGTTAGAATTTGCATCAGAATAAAAACCAAGAAAAGAAGCACAAATGATCAGACAATTTGCTGAAGTTGGGACTTCAAAGTTTTCTGATACATGAATATTTAAGTTCCAAGCAGTATAAGCTATAAAGCTGGCTACCTGTCACACAGGCAGAATAACTGAAGAGCCCAAATCAAGAGGAAGGAGAGTGCACAGTAACATAAAAAACGGTAACATGAGGTACATTAGCGAATTGCACTACAATAACAAATCCAAGATCAGATTTTTTGGCTTACAATTTTACTTTTCGTTTGCTCTATTGTCGTCTCCAGCTCGCCTATATGCTGACTGAGAGCCTACAAGAGAGCATTTAGGATGCCAGATAAAACAAGTAGATTATCAGTAAAAAGTGAGATAACATCAATTTATAAATAGGACAGCTGACATGTTTAAGATGAAAAACCTCATAACGCTGCAGTGCCACTCTACGTTTTAGTGCTTTTGCTTTTGTCAGAAGGTTCCTTGGCCTGAGGCTGATAGGCCGCCTATAGTTCTTCCCACGGTAGAAAATAAGAGCATAACCTTTTGGCACTCTTTCTATTGCCACTAAAATCCCACCGCTTTCATATTCCAAAAGTCTAGCTGTTTCTTCAACGAAAGCAAGTACCTTTTCTTTTGATATTAACTTAACAAGTTCTCTATGTTTCCAATGCAGATGCATGTTCTCAATAACACCGTCAAAGACACCACGAATACCTGGTAGGTAAGCATATACATGAGTTCTCGGTTAAATGCAGGCAGTAATCAACAGATTGACCAATATTTTAGTTTACGTCCAAAAACAATTAACACTCACCAAGTGGCAGGTATGACTTCATTCTTAGTCCAACTCTGCGCAACATGACCCTCTCCTCCTCTGTTATCGTTTCCAGGTCATCAGAAGGACCAGCAGGAATCCAGGATTCCACAATCTTAGCCAAAATTTTCTCTGCTTTAAGCTTCTTGGTCTGGGACTGTTCATGAATCACATAAAAACTATTAATAGAAGACAAAGGAGTCATCAAAATAAAAAATGAAACATGACTAGGGAAAAATAATTTTGGAAACAAAGATTAAGGGAAGAGTTTTTTTTTTTTTGGACAACGGTAACAGTTTTGTGTATTAATCTGATTAAGGGAAGAGTTTAAAAACTTATTTTGGCAGGACAGTTTCAGAAGATCCAAACGTTATAACAAAGAACGAAAGAAAAAAAAGCTACAGAATCAAAAAAGATGAATAAACATAAGAAGTTTTGAAAAAACAAAAAGCCTACACACATAAAAGGGTTAATGAAGAATTCCAAAGACATCAAAAGTAAAGGTAAAGAATTCTATAGCTCACCAGTTGATAACTTCCAATAGCTTGATAATACTAATACACCTCGATCACACCAAGCTATCTTTTTAAAAATTAAAAGGAATCTGATGGATTTGAATAAATACAAACATTTTGCAACAGAATGCTAAAATAAATTGAAGTAAATACAACAGGTCATCGTTAAAAAAGCTAACATGAGAAGTGCTTGTAAAATTAGGAGGAAAAAAATATACTTACAATCTCAAATTTATGTTCAAGACGTTTGACTACTCTAGCCATCTTAGCCATTGCTGCTTCTTTTAACATTCTTTCACGTTCTTCAGCAGATATTTCTCTCCCCCACCGAGCCTGAGCCTCATAAAATTCTGCTAAAGAACCGGCAACGGCCTGTCCATCTGTGATCAATGGTGCCACTTTAGCAGGCCCACTCCGTGTTTGCTCTTCAACATCTTGGATCTGTTTTGTCAACTCTTGCCTTTCGGCTAAAACAGCCGCGACAGTAGGTGGGACAAAATCCTTTCCTCGATAAAAGATTATGTAATATTTGTTTCTCAGAAGTAGGACCCCCCCTGTTAACATCTGAGATGCAACTGATATGTTAGTGGTATTACTCAGTAGATTTCCTAATTTAGCGGCACTTAAGTATTATGTGCTGCTCAGTTAAGTGTACTTGTCTACGCCCTAATTCTACAATCTTAACCACAATGGGAGGCATACTTCTAAATAGTTTTTCTAAAT